CATATGAGAGAACTTTGGAAATTATCAGATTATTTGATTTATTTTCCTCTAAAGATCAATAATTATCTACAGATACATAAAAATAATAGGAATAATGTAATAAGTTTATGCTAGAATTATAATGATAATTATTTAATATTACCTACTTGGAAAGAGGTAACTTCTTTTTACAAGCTATTTTTCAATAATAATGCATGTTGATAATATTATCTGATATTATCTCAATGCCATATTTACATACCTCTTTTAAAATTCATGTTCTATTATAATAATTCCATATATATATATCTTTTTCTTAGTATGGTAACTACGAATTAGATATACGTGAATAATTTTTATTCTAAATTTTGATTTATCAATCTTTTCTGATTCTAATATAATTTTTACTAATCTTGATTTGAATATAGATAAAGGTTTATTATCAGATATGATAATATCAAAGAAGGATTTGATGTCTGTAATATCTACTCTAGCCTTTTGCCCATTAATCAAAGTGCTGTAAATATATAGAATATATGTAAATATTCCATTTATATATTCAGTGATATTACTTACATCATTAGGTATAAAGTATATAGGTTGTTTATTGGATAAATTTTGTTAGAGTATAGCTGTTAACTCATTATCACATTTCAAAATAATATTATTGCGAGTTGGAATCCTGACTAAAGTTTCTCCACCCTCATATCACTCAAGTTGTATACTTTATTTACTCATTTTTTATTGGTATGTATCAATCTTTGTTCAATTATATTATTATAATATAGTTTAGAAAAGTTTAAATTAATTTTTTTGATCAGTACATAGTGATATTAAAAATGATGTATCGAGTTTTAGTAAGATGCATAAAGATAATCATAGTCTTGATTAGTGAATACTTTGGGTATTTAACTGTAATATATATTGTATAATAAATATGTTTTTGAATATGTGAACAGGATATTCAAGTGTAATAATGTATTATAAGAAAAATAGCAGAAGAATACCCTTTCAATAATATATTTTCAGATATGTGTTTGAGATATATTAATAAGGGTATTCAAGTGTGGTAATATATTATAAAAAAAATAGCAGAAGAATACTCTTTTAATGATATATTTTCAGGTATGTGCTCAATGGTATATTTTTGGATAGATCAAGGTGAAGTAATCTTCTGGAAGAATACCTTACTTTTTAATGATATGTTTTTAATATATTTTGGATATATGTTATGGTAGAAAACTTCAGATTTATTTATAGTAAAAAATGATGTTATATATTCACCCTCTTATGTGTCAGAGATACTAGTTCCACTATATATAACATATCCAATAGTATTTATATAATAACATAGTCAAATAGTATAGCTGATAGTAATTATGCAATAATATAATCAGATAGCATGTATATAATATAGTCTGATAGTAATTATGCATACATGTTTGATAATATACCTGATAGTAGACATATAGCATAGTCAATAGCAATAGGTAAGTAATATTAGATTTATTTATAGTAAAAAATAAAGCTATATATCCATCTTCTTATATATAATATATCTGATAGCATGACTAGATAGCATTTACCAGACATAGCTCTCACACTAGATCTGCAAATGATAATATGCAACTGAATGCATTATTAGCATATTTTTTATAGATTGTGAGATATCTAAGTGTAATGATGTGAACACAAATTCGTCATCATATTTTTTATAGATCATGAGTATCTAAGTGTGATGATGAATTTATAAACCAATTGTCACTCAAATAATGACATACATATGATTCAATCTAGTGATGGGAACCGCAACTAGCTGCAACTCTGTCGCAATTCTCTGATTGGCTGCTGCAACTCTGTCACAACTCTCTGATTGGCTGCTGCAAGCCACAACTAGTTGAGGAGCTATCTTTAATTCAATCATTAATGGGGATGATTATAGTCCAAATTAAGTAGTATAATTATAATCTATATAGATTATAATTATATCACTTATAATAACTAATTAGAAAATTATAACTAGATTATAATATTATCTTTAGTTCTGATATATATAAATTTAGCTTAATTAACTAATATAATTTATTATTAGATAAAGATAAATTTGAAATATTTAAGAATATATACTATATTTTGAAGTAAGTAATATTTTTTTCTAATAATATTATATAAATAAATATATATCTAATTTAGAAATCCATTAAAGCTGAATAATTTTATATAATATAGAATTTAATTTGAATTATATCATATAATTTATTTATATTATATAAAAAGTAATTATTAGCTAAATATATTATTAGATAATAATAGTAAATAAAATAATTAAAATTAATAAATACAAAATATTAATAATTTTTAAAAAATATAAAAATAATTATTATAATAAATATATAATAAAAATTATATATATATAATTATTTAAATTTAATATTTTTTATTATTAAAAATTAGAGTTAATAATTTATTTAAATATATAATAAATGTCTTAGTTATTTTTATATTACTTTTATTTTTAATTTCTTAATACTTATTTTATATTTTTTACATAAGTTTATCAATTTAAAGTCTTTATATTTCTATTTTTTTTTACTTGAATCTGAATTAACTTAGGTAGCTTAATTATTTTATGATATTTATATATTTTAAAATTAATTTTTTCAAATATTCATTAGAATTTATTTTAAATCTTAATTATTAATAACTTATTAGAATTAAAAATATATTAATAAAAAATATATCAATATGAAAATAAATAATAATAAAAAAATATATAATTATATTAGAATATTTATAGATTTAATAATAATTTTTTCTTTATTATTCTTGTATTTATAGTTATAACTTTATTTATAATTATAATAATTTTAATTAGATTATCTCTTTTTAACTTAGATCTTTATTTTACACTATTTATATTACAGATTAGCTTCTGTATTATTTTTATAAAGATTAATTTTATTCTGGATATACAGATAATCATTTATATATTTAATATATTAGATTTAATATATTATCATACAAGTGATTACTATATATATTTTTATTATTAATTTAGATAATTAATATCTTAATTTAATAATTCTTTTATCTTTTTACTTGTTCTTATTTATTATTATTTATATTATTATTTATCATATTATTAATTATTAGATTATAATTAGTTATTTTCTAAAAATATAAATTAAGTTAATTAATTTTATTTAATTATATATATTTTAAAATTAAATTATTATTAATTTATTCACTTTTTATATTTATTTCTTCTTACTATAAATAAGTATTATCTGTTCTGTAAATTATTCTTTGAATTTGAATATTTTTAAATAATAAAAATAATTATAAGTTATAAAATTAAAAACTATTCATATTATATTTTATCTTATTTATAGTTATTAACAAAATAATCTTATAATAATTAATTTTAGATGAGATAAAAAAACTTATGTATTTATTTAAGAATCTCATTATTGAAATCAATTACAAAAATAATATTTTTAATAAAAGTTAAAAATAATTTTTTCTGAATTGATTTATTTCTTGTTATTAAGTTTAATAATTTTGAAATATATTTCTAAATTATATAATAAAAGCATAATTTATTATATAATTTAGTAAATTTAGAAAATTTAAGAAAATTAATTACATGATAAATTATATTTTAATAATTATTAGTAATGAAATTTTACCTATTAATTTATATTTCTTTACTATTATTCTTTTGAGTTTGCTATAATAGGATTTTAATGAATTTATTAAAATAATTTATAATAAAAAAAAAGTGCTAATGTGTTTAAAGTACTTATTTTTTTGTATTATTAGTATATATATATATATATATAATTAATTAATATTTATTAATTATTAAATAATAAAAATTAAATTAACTTTATATATAATTAAAATAACTTTCTAAAAAATAAAAAATTTTAACTTTTTTTAAACTAAAATTAATTTATAATTTATAATAAAATTAAAATTATTTATATATAATATAATAAAAAATATATATTTTACTAATTATAATTAGTAAAAAATTTAAGTATTTTATTTTTTATTATTATTATATATTAAAAAATTATTATAATATTTTAATATTTTAATTTTTATTATAATTTATTACAATTATTAATTATTTTAATTTAAATTAAATTAAATTTTTTAAATTAATTTAATTATAAATTAAAATATTATAAAATATTTAATATCTTTTTTAATTTTAAAATTAATTAAAGTTTTAAAAATTCTATTATAGTTAAATCTTATTATAATTATTATACTTGAAAAAATAAAATTAAATAATTATAAAAAGATATAATTATAAAGAGATTTTTTAATTATAATTAATTAATAACTAAAAAACTTAAATAGAATGACTATAAAAAAATATAATTACAAAAAGATATAACTATAAAGAGATTTAATTATATTTAAATCAAGATTGACTTTTAAATCAATTCAAAAATGTTATTCAAATATTTATATAATTAATTTATTAAATAAATTTTATTTAAGTTATTTAAAATTATTTAAGAACTAAATCTAATTTAAATATATTTAAATTTTTCATAGAGATTTAGCATTTAAGTAATTTATATTTAATATTTATTTAAAAAGTTTTAGATTTTTAAATTTTTATATTTTAACAAAATTAAAATAAAGTTATTTAAAATTAATAAATCAAATTTGTTTAGCTAATTTATTATAATTATCTAATTATTTATTAAACATAAATTAAATCATGTTAATATAGTATAAAGATCAGATTTATATTAATAATGTCAAATTTATATATAAATAATATTATGAAATAAATTTCAGAAAAATCACTATTTTATTATAAAAATTATGATCAGATTGATTTACAGATCTGCAAAATTATGGCCAGAATTTTCATCATGGTTCTACAATATCAAAATGAAATTAAAATTCTTAATAACATAAAATGATTTGTTATTTTTTCAGATTTCGCAAACAATACATTTCAACTAAATTAATTACTCAATATTATCGTTATAGGTTTAACATATCCTTTCATTTGGAGGACTATTAAAAAAATATATTATAAAAATTGGAATAATTGAAATGAAAAATAGTAGTAAATATTTACCGGTATGGAACACCCAACGCGTCAAATATTTCTTGTTCAGTTCTTTGAGCAACAAGGGTGCCCTCATTGTACTTTACACCTTTCGCATCACGAATAACATTGGTGTATAAACCATGTTGGTTTAAACGCATTCCCTAATATTAACACGTTTATTTAAATAAGAAATAAAATATTGCATTGTTATTGGTTAATTTTTTTACCTTTTTACGAGCCAATAGTCGCATACTACGATTAAAAATATCGTTTCCAGTAAACGTTAATAAAGCAGCGCCGTATTCGTTAAAAGGGACAATGAAAATATCTATGAAATAATAATAATAATTTGGTATTCATATAAAGTAATATAAAAAATAAAAACTTCATAAATGACTTGATACCAAAACGACGGCATTTTCCATTTGGCGGCATTTGACAAATTCCTAAATATTTTTGACCAGAACTTTCTTTGTCGTTGCGTCCCAAATCGTATTTTAAAAAGGATTTTTCGTGTAGAATTTTCAACAATTGTGATAATATCCCTATAGATTTTTACAAATATATCAATTACCCTTATATATTACTTATTTTGAAAAGAATTACCGTCGATTTTTTTGCCATCAGAATCATCTCTTGTTATTAGAATATCTACATCTCCACAGGT